TCGGTGAGAGTCTGGCTGAGCTGCGCCGCATCTTGGGTCAAGGAAATGTGTCCTCAATGAAGAAGTGAAATGATTTCTTGTTTTGTTTTGTTTATTTTGTTTTTCATAGAATTGTGTGCATGATTCAAAAATGTGTAACTCAAGTTTGGTAGATCCAAATGCTATGGTTCCAATTTTGTTGAGTTCCTAGTAATGTCTAGTATTTAATAAAAATATTATATGAGCACATGTTTTAGAAATTTTGGATGAATGAAATAGGACTTTGAAATGTGTTTTGAGATGCATGCAAATTTGTTTTAATTTTATCTTGAGTTTCTGTGGTCCAAAATTTATGAAATTTTGTGGGTAATCTATTATTGCTTAGTAGAAGATCTGGTTAAAATTTCAGAGCTAGTGCTTGTATAGTTGTTGAGTTATAGAATTTCTATTTATCAATGGATGGATCTTGTGTGAATTTTCATAATTTTTCTATAGATCCAGTATAGGTAAAATTTGGTGAGTAAGGTTCTTATGCTAGAATGATGCTAGGAAAAATGTGAAATCTGTTGCTTGACACTTTTCATTAGGGTTTTCTAATTATACTAAAAATAGGCATGCCACCTGTTATTTTGGATACAGCAAGTTCTGCTTGCTCAATGGCTTTGAAAATTTTATGGTAGTCTATGTGAAGCATGAGATAGCTACTGTAATTTTTGTAGATTTTTATGAACAGTTTTACTATATATTGCTTTAATCACCTAATTAACTAAATAAATTAGAAAAGGATATTAAATAATTTATTTAGAAGTTAGCATTATACTTTCTAGTGTTCCTCTGGTATGTGTAACAAGTTGGTAAACTTGGTTTGATCAAATTAGGCTTTTGCATCATCATTAAATAATTAAGTTAGTAACCCTGTCATTGCGGGACAGATTCTAGGTTTACTGGAATTCGATTTGTTTAACTTAAGAATCATGCTTTGATATTTATAAATGATTTGTAGAGAATTTTATAAGCTTTCCAGAATATCCTCTTGCAAGTCATTTGGATTTGTAGAACTCTTGTTGTGATTGAATTAAGGAACTACCCGTTTGCATATGAAGCTTTAACTGTTGTTTTAAGTATGCCTTTACTATTTCTAAGTTTGTGGTAATGTTACTAGGTGTTAGGCCTTTAACTGAAGATGAGCATCTTTATCTTAGGTTATGCAAGTTAGGTAAGTTGATCTTGTTCTTCAAGTTAAGTTAGATACCTGTTTTAAAGTGATTTGAATAGAGCTATTCTTAATCCAGAAAGCGAGTGTCCGATAATGTTTTCGTTAAACACTTATCGTGATTCATTCATCATGAGCATCATGTCATTCCTTATGCATCCATGATATTTATCACGTGCATTGGCATGCAATAGGTGTACCGGAAGGAGTGACCTCTTTGGAATTCGAGGAACGAAGCGAAAGCAAAGCAATGACCGACACCGGAGGTTCGGGAGGTGCGACCTTGAAGAAGAAGTGCGACGAGGTCGCCGTTGAGTGCCGGATCATCGTCTGCGTGCAACTTTGTGAAAGGCAAGCCCCGGAGCATATTAAGCCTCCTAATTTCGAAATGCGGTTACAATATTATTATTATATATCTATATATATATTGTTGCATTAAGTTTAGGTGTTGGATGCAAACAATTGTTGCATTGGTTATCCAATCCTTATCTAGATATTGTTACCACGAATCCTATGTAGCTCGGGCTCGTGTAGTGCTTAGCCTTGCTTAAACGCTGTAGAAGTCGGGTGATTTTTCTGTCACTGCGAGATATAGGAATATACATGTGGCACGGTTGGCTATATTTGCTATCGTGGAAAAGAACCGATCTTAATTTGAAATGAAGACCCAAGGAGGAGGCTGCCGGTTTCAAAGTGACTCCGTCTCGTGTGTCGCTTAAGGACTGATTCTTGGAGCCTTTCCTGTTCATGTTGAACGCATGCCTCTCTCTTAGTTGGTCGTGTCCAAGACCGACCGCATGGCCGAGTAGCTCACCTCGGCCGGAGTCGATAAGTATAAAGTGCGCCTCGGAAGGGAGCCGAGGCGTGAGTCCAAGGCGGGTGATTTAAAAGTCCCGATCGTCTGGCGGAAGGGTAATCCCCGAGAGTGTCTTTGTTGATCGAAACCGCGAATTTGGCTCTCGAGATGTCCCAAAGGTAACCCACGGCTACCCTTGCTAAGTATGTCGGGGTGAGAGTTAGAAATACCCCTCTCGCCTGAGTTGTAATTCGATTCGAAGTCGTCGTCTCTCCGGTTAGTGAGAACTTAACGGACTTATCTCAATGTAGATACACTTAATAACATAATGGTTCGGAAATGATGATATGATGATGACCTTATTATACCGCTATGGTTAATATTGTTTGCTCCTAATAAGTGAGTGCTCTAGCACAGTGCTAATCTAGTGGACGATGTAAATGATGATAAGCTTGATGCTAAGTTTAAATTGGTTACTATAATTATAAGCTCTTTTATGCAACTGTGTCAAGCTAGCCCACCTCATAAGCCTTGCATGATCCTTGGTGTCTTTTATTTCTGGTTTTGTCGGGTAAGTCTAGCTGAGTACCTTCTCGTACTCAAGGTTTATCTCCCACCTGTTGCAGATGACCAGTTCTACTTTGGTTGCTGCAAGTATTGCCTTCTCCCAGCTGGGGATGAAGACTAGGCCGTTGGACGCGGTCTCTACTAGTTCTCGTACCTGATAATGCTTTTGTGGGACATGACTCAGACTTGGCAATGTAATTGAAACTATAAAGTTATGTACTAAACTATGTTGCTTCCGCAAATTTGAACCTGGTTTGTAATATTTTATTTGAACTCTGATGGATGTAATCCGAATGCTACTTATGAAATGTTGTAACGGATGATGTGTTGTGTTGAATCACTACGATCTTGGTTTGTATGTCGAGAGTTGGTTGAAATCCTTCGTGATTTCCGGACTACCGGGATTATGGGAGCTTAAGTACAGGAATTTGATCGCTTCGGTGATTATTTTTGTACTTACGTTCTTTTGATTTGGTCGGTTCTGTTACAGGAGGCCCGGCGACCCCGCGCCCAGGGATCTCAGGGAGGGAAGCTCCTCATCGGCCTCGTCAGCCCAAGAGCGGTGGGAGGGGGAACCGTTGTCCATGGATGCACCTATCAGCAGTCATCGCTCGCCGTCGCCGCCTCGCCGGAGCCCAGAGGTCGTCGGATCCACGCGCCTCCGTCCCGTTGATGGAGAAGCGTTGTCCCGTTGGTGGAGAAGGAAGAAGAACTCGCCGCCTCGCCGGTAGGGCCGCTGGCTTCCGCAGAGGCTCGTCACCGGTGGCCGCTGAGCGACGGCGCTGCTTCATTCCAGCCACAGAAATCAGCATGCAAATTCTCTCTCTCTCTCTCTCTCTCTGTGTGTGTGTGTGTGTGTGTGTGATCTAGCGGCCTTGGTGGATTGTAGTTGGCCAAATCTATTGATTATATTGATTGCATTATGTTTTATGCCATAAAAAGATGTGACGGTTTGGAATCTCTACTGGATAAAAGTTGTTGTAGTATTTGCAGCTTAACATGAACTTATTATACCTAAACATTTTGCCATTTGTCTCTATTTTACAGCTTAACATAGTACCTAGGAGGCTAGGATTATGTAGCAACAATTTATCCATACCTAAACTTTTACCAACTTCAAGTTATTGCACGCTAATATGATTATTATACCCCGAACTAACATAAGCATATTTGTTCCTATTATGTACAGAAGCTCAAAGAAGCTATATGTGAAGCTTGGAAATGATATCTGTTTGAGACACATTTCCCACCTGATAGGTAATTTCTTTTGTGGTCATCACTTAAGAGTGTTGCCTGTAAGTTGCATTACATGAGCAGGATTTGTGACCGGCCCATCCTGGAGGTGCGTTCGTACTTCGTAGTGCTAGAGGGCCCGCCCAATAGGCGGCAGCGGACGGGACTCGAGTACTCGACCCTGAGCATTCCGGGCAGGAACCCATCACGATCGCATCTGAAGGGCTCTAATTGCTCCGGGGACCCGTGCACGGCGTGGGCGGGCGTGGGCTGCCGCACCGGGCGCGTCGTCTCGCTCAACATCATCGGAGCCGACTGTACGTTGCACGCGACTCGGCTTCCTGTCAGGCTGTCACCACACTTCGGCGTCGACGGGCCGCACAACCTCACATGGCTCGAGGCCTTCAACGTGACGGGCCGGCGTGGCTAGGCGCCGGGCTTGAGCCCACTTTCCAGTCCCTCGGGTCCCTGCGGTGGGCTGTGCGTGGGACGCCAATGCAGCAGCGATGGGGACGGGGTCGCCGTGGCCAAGGTCCGCAGGCGGCGAGGAGGACGAACGCGGCGCTCGAGGTTCATCCAGTCAAATGACGAGGAGGAACTCAACGGCGGCGTCCCGATGGCAGTCCGCCTCTCACTGCTCCGCGGTGTCCCGCACCGCCTCGGCCCTCTTCCCTTCACTACCGTCAGTCCCGTGAATGGCTTCCGTTCCGCCGCATGCCTCCCTCTCATCCCTTGCTGACTTGTTATTTTTCATTTTACCATCGCTACTGAGAGCCATTGGAACCCATTTGAACGCATGCGATGCCAGAAAAGTCACGGCGTGACTTGAAGTATGCAACTCACTAACCAGCAGAAGGTTTCGCGCAGTCCAGCCTCGATCGACAGAAAAGGACCGAATCACACGCATGCTCAGAGCTCAATGCGACTCTGTACGCGAAAAGCAGCGACAAGCCAGGAACGCAGCGTAGTTAAATCACTCCCCGACTGACTGTCTGATTAAATTCTCTTCGATCACAGAAACCCCTAAAACCTTGTAGGCTTGAAATTAAACAGTGGCAACAGATTAAAATGCAGCAATAACCAAATCTGAACACACTAGCACGAATTGTCTGGAAGCAAAGTAGAACGAACTAAACTAGGACAGGCTAGAATTAAGCAACGCGAGTTTACGGCAGTCACGCGAAGGGCAGTAACATCACTTCGCCGCGTCGATCAGTGCTCGCCGTCGAGCAGCCTGCGGGCGATCTCGGAAGAGACGAAGGCGTCGATGCAGGCGTACCTGATCTGCTCGTAGCTGAGGCAGTACGCGTCCCAGCGGCTCATGGTGACCCTCTGCGGCTTCACGAGGTCGACGCCCATGACGGCTTGCACGAGGGCGCGCAGCCCCGCCTGGCGGAGGTCCGGGCGGTTCATCCGCTCCGCGGCGCGGCCGCGCAGGTCCACCGCGTTGGCCACCTGCAGGCCGTGGTCGTCGCTGAGCCGCTCCGCGTCCGCCTCCACGCCGACGCCGAAGAAGTGGATCCCGCGGTCGCCGAGGAACTCCGCCAGCGCGCCGGCGAGGTAGTCGGCGTGGAGGAGCTGGAAGATGAGGCAGCTGCGCTCGACGCAGAGCTGCAGTGTGGCCACCGGGTTCTGGTCCGCGCGGTAGCTTGGGCGCCACTCGACGTCGAGCCCGACGGTGATGTTGTAGCCGATGCCGCCGGGGCGGTGCACCGAGAGGATCTCAGCGATCCAGCGCTCCACGGCCTGGCCGGAGGATGTGACGGTGGTGGTGATCACGTCGTTGCCGAAGGTCACCGTGGTCACGTAGGTATCGGCCATTGGATGCCTCGTCGTCGTCTCTCTGGCTGCGGGCTGCGGCGCTCCTTTTCTCCTGAGCAAACGATTAGGGGGACTGGGGAAGAGGGGATTGGTTTGGGAACGGCTAATCGAACAAGTGCGGCGGCGGTGGAATAAAGGGTGAAGCGTGCCAGCGAAGAGTCACTTCCAGGCGAGATTTTTTTTCTCTGGGCCTCTTTAGACGGAGAAAATTTTTGCAAAATGCATTGTAGCATTTTTTGGTTGTTATTTGATAATTATTGTCCAATCATAGTCTAATTAGGCTTAAAAGATTCGTCTCGTGAATTTCGTCTAAACTGTGTAATTAGTTTTATTTTTATTTATATTTAATGCTTTATGCATGCGTTCAAAGATTCGATATGACGGGGAATCTGAAAAATTTGGCAAAATTTTCTGGAACTAAACTGGACCTCAGTTTTGATGGAAATCTTATCTGTGAAGGTGAAATTTAATGGTAAATAAAACCTAGTAAAATCCCCTTCCTGCGTATCTCTTCCATAATTGGGAATTTTGTATCTACTAAATTCAACTTGTCTTTCTGTTCCCAAGCTCAAATTTGTTAAATTAGGGTTTCAAAGAACCCTTGCCTTAGGTTTTTGGTAGCAAGCTAGATTTGTAGATACAGTGACATCATCCGTAGAGTGCAGGTCATGAGGTCAGCCTCAACACGGAATGTTGGATTGTAGCCTCTCCATATATATCATCACCAAATGTCTAAATCAAAACAGTCCATGGCTTCGTAGAGGATCATTAATGTGTAGAGAGGTATCGGGCATGTTCGTTTGAATTTATCAGCAGGCTTATCAGCTAGAATCTACATTATTTTTCTCTCACAGCCGGCTAAAGCTAGAATCTACGGTATTTTTCTCTCACAACAAAATAGCTTCAGCCGGCTTTAATACTAGCTGAACAGGACCATCATCAGCCTCATCTAACAATACATTGAGTAGTTGAGAGTGTGTTGTGAGATATGGAGGTGAGGTCTCACGCTTTTATAAAGAGTGAGGAACTCAGAGCTTCTGCAAAAAGTGAGTAACTTTTCTTGTTACAAATATTTGCATGGGTTGTGAGATTGATAGCCTCGTTTTCACATTATCTACATGTTTAGTAACTTTTAGATGAGGTAATGACGGTCCGCGCTGGGCCTACTCGGAGCATTATAGCAGGAACAAATTTACAAATAGTAATTTTATTCGTTTGTCTTCCTATCTCTTTGGTTAGAAGGTTACATTCATCTGAGGTTAGTCGAGCTCAAAGCCTTAGGTTATGGATAAGTTGAGAGTATCTTTGTGTTGAGAGAAATCACAAAAAGGATCTATATCTTGCTAAGTTGGTTCAATTCCTAAGACCTAAATTTGTTATAGGTGCTCGTATTTTGGTTGGTGATATACCCTCAACTTACAGACGACATCGATGTACTCAAAGTCAAATATGGGCCTACATGTGAGTATTTGAGTCTAGATTAAAAAGGAACCACAAGAAGTTGGTGATTAGATGGATGATGGAAGGAAGCAACGACTTAGGACCCTTGTATTTATAAGGTACTCTCTCCATTCTAAATTATAAGACGTTTTAGCTTTTTTAGATGTATAGCTTTTGTTATGCACATAGATACACATTATGTCTAGATACGTAATAAGAGTAATATATCGAATAAAAAAGCTAAAACGTCTTATAATTTGGAATGAGTGTTAATTTTAAAATGTGATCAAACACTTTTTCACAAGTGTAGGGGTAAACTTCTTCAGAATTACAGGATCCATAAATTTCCATGCATCCAAAAGATTTCCCACGCATTATTTCAAACTCAAACGAAAAGGCAAACAAAAACACAGATTTCCAATGGTCCAATACTCCAACACAGAAGTATTACCTTAGCATAATATAACGCAGCAGTATTTTGAAATTTGAAACGGTGAACAGAGCGGAGATAGCTCGTACGCAAAAGTTGTGTGCGTCCTATAAGGACTCACGCAGCGAGCGAGAATCTATAGTATTTTTCTCTCACAATAAATCAGCTTCAGCCGGCTTTAATACCAGCCGAACAGAGATGAGTTGCTGCGGCTGGGAGACATCAGACATCACAAAGACACACAAACGATGCGCTTGCTTTTGTGCTCGAGGTACTGTTACTACCCAAACAACGGTTTCCAAGGGAAAAGATATACAATTGCATTCATGTGCACTAGAAATTACACGTGTGGCGGATGCAGAACAGGATTGAAGGGGCCCCGGTCTCTTCTTCTTCCCCTCTCTCTATTTTTCTTCTTTCCTCCACCTCTTCTTCTCCCTCACCCTCCACATATTTCCATTGAAGCACAAGTTGTAGGGGGCTGGATCCCCCCCCCAGCCCCCTTTAGATCCGCCCCTGCCTGTAAACCAATTACATGTCAATAAAAATACCATTATGCCAAACAGGACCTTAAACAAGTAAAATTAACTAAAGATTTATATTTATTTTTTATGGATCTTGATATTGAATGGACAAGTACATGCATGCACTTGGGCTATTAGCTTGTACCATAGGTGCAACACCTCGGCGTTAAATCATTAAACGCCGACCTAGCTAATCTCGGCGTTAGCTGATTAAATGCCGAGCTTTGGTCAGACTGACACGTTGGCGCTTATGTGGCAAGTTTAGCGTTCAATCATAGGGCGCCGAGCCACGCATCTCGGCATAGCGTCATTGTACGCCGAGCTTTCATATTTTCATAAAATGTCTTACGAAGGGTCTATCTATAAAATAAGTTTTTAAAAAGGACTAAAATGCAAAAATTTCACACCGGAAGCACGATTTGCAAGACACACCAATGCGATCTAGAGCTCATAAGACCCGAAACACTACACACCTAGGAGGGACCTATCAGAGCACGTAATAGCTATGGATTGCTTTAGACGACCTGGCCGCCAAAGAACTTTGTCACCATTGAAGCAATGAAAAGAACGAAAAACAACATAGGTTGGAAAAGTTCGATGAATGATAAAAAGTAAAAGTTATATTGATAAATTCGACTATGAACGATCATTGAGCCTTCACCATACACACAATATGCTGGTCTTCCCCTATAGAAATATGATTTGGTTCGAACCGAACAGAACATATAACTACAAGTTCGGCTATATCTAATTAGGGAATAATCTCGCAACCTACTAGCAATATATCTAGCTTGATCAATCAAGTAGTACAATATACTAAGACTTCCCATCCTTAGTTATTAGGGCCTGATTAGCAATTAAACTAGCGGTCGCAATTTGATTGGCACAACTGGTTGGACCGCCAGTCCGATTTAAATGACTAAGGATTTCATGCCAAAAAAAAAACACATTACATGGTTTAGTGGTAATGAGCGCGTGTTTAGTTAGGTGAATTTGGGAATTTGGGCTACTGTAATACTTTCGTTTTTATTTGATAATTAATGTTTAATCATGGACTAATTAGACTCAAAACGTTCGTCTCACAATTTCCAACAAAACTGTGCAATTAGTTTTTTTTGTCTACATTTAATGCTCCATGCATGTATCGTAAGATTCGATATGATAGGTACTGTAGCACTTTTTGAGAATTTGGGGTGGAACTAAACACGCGCTGAATGTCTCTCCATCCTATAAAGATTCTATTTGACTCCTGTGCACCACCAGTTAGGCCCCGTTTAGATTCCAAAAAAATTTGCGTAGTACCCGTCACATCGAATCTTGCGGCACATGCATGGAGTACTAAATATAGACGAAAAAAAACTAATTGCACAGTTGGGTGAGAAATCGCGAGACGAAACTTTTGAACCTAATTAGTCCATAATTAGACACTAATTGTCAAATACAAACGAAAGTGCTATAGTAGCCAAAATCCAAAAATTTTGGATCTAAACGGGGCCTTATGCTCTGCTCCCTTTACGTACGAGCTCGATGATAATTTGGAGTGGTTCCTCATAACACCTTGCTAAAACACTGCATGAGTATCATACTTATGTGTACATGTATAAATTATAGAGTGTAAAGCAATATACATAACTTGAAAAGTTCGTCGGAAAACGCGAAACGAATGTTACATTGCATGTCGCGTTGTATCACTTAGTGTTCTAAACGAATTTTTATTGAACGAAAATGCTATAGAATGCATATGCGAAACTTTAATAAAGTTCGTAGTACAAGCTTTGTAGGTGATGGTGAAATACTCGCGGTCGAGAATGGGAGTCACTAGCTAGCTTAATTGGTAGCCTAGAAATCGAAGTTGACGCAAAACCGATCGAAACTTAGTCACTTTTCTTAAGTCTGGAAATGGGTCGACGAAGCTGAGTTTGATAATTTTTATAGGAGGATCAGGTTAGGTAGTGGCACGGTTTAAGGGTTTGTTTTGGTCGCTTGATATACCATCTCGAGCGTAAAATAGTTGGTTTAGCAACTGGATCGTCGAGTTGGTTTTTTGGGCAGCTTTAAAAAGCATGCAAGTCACTTTTCCTGGCCAATTGCAGCGTCTGGGCGCGATCACCGCGCTGGCACTCGTCGTCGCGCTTTTGCTGCTTAACGCGGCGCGCCATGCGCGCTGAAACACTACTGTTGGTTGGCCTCCTGCCAGTAGCCCTCTGCGCCCCCTTACCGCCGCCAAGCGCCATCGTTGCTGCGCCCTAGCACGCCACGCACACACACGCACGTGCCGCACGCACCGCTGCCCGGGCCTACCTCTGGCCACCGTCACCCGCACCGCTGTGGCCGCGCTCTGCCAAGCGTCTCACGCCGCACGCGCACGTCGCGCCTGGCGGGCCCAGCCACTCTGTCGCCGCCGCCTTCACGTCCGCCTGAACCATCCTGCCGCCTCATGCTCGGCTGCACGGGACCGTGTGTGCGTGGCCATCCTTGGCTAGCCTGTGGCTTGGCCAGCTCGGCTGCTGTTGCGCGGTGCCAATAATGCCCACAGTCGCGTCGTGTTGCGGCCCGGTCGCGCTGCGCTTCGACCGCCGCCGCTACCGCGAAGCCACTGCTGTTGT